GGGATGAAGTTCAAGAAGAGTTGGATAGAGCTGACCAGGCTGAGCCATCACAACCACCTCCTGCCAAAGGTCCTTCCTCGCGCCGCCTCTACCGTCCTGAAACAGATGACACAACCGCTGCTCTCCTCCGCTTCATCGAACAGTAGAATCAGATGATGCTTATGATGGAACAACAAAACCGACGGGCTGAACAGTTCGAAGCTTGGCAGAGAGAACAAACTGGTCACATGAGGACATCTATGCAGCAGATCCAGGACGTCCAATCTGGCCTGGTCGATGACATGGCCAACCTCACTGTGCGAGTCGACGGCCTCCGCGAGTACATCTTCCACACCGGAGCTTTGAACCTCGAGGCACGCGACAGAAGAGCCAGAGGTAGAGGTAGTGATAGAGGAAGAGGAAGGGACTAATAGTATTTTTCATTTCTTGTATTTTATTTTTTCTTTCCTTTGTATTTTTCCCTTCCATATTCTTTCAAATCGGTGAGGACACCGATTAAGATAGTGTGGGAGCGGAGCATTATTTCCCTTTTCCCTGTCATTTTCTATTCTGACTGTACTTTTCATTCAACTTTTCGTACTTTTCATTCAAATTTTCAATTTAAAGTATTTCAAATTTTGGCAAATAAAGCTCATATATATATATATATATATATATATATATATATATATATATATATATATATATATATATATATATATATATATATATATATATATATATATATATATATATATATATATATATATATATATATATATATATATATATATATATATATATATATATATATATATATATATATATATATATATATATATATATATATATATCCGTTACGTGAACTCCCCGCGCCTTATCCGACATATACAAAGAAACTTTTATCCTCTTCAAAGCATCACGTGACACGCCTTTGCTTAACCAAGTTTGGAATTCCCAAGAAGAAAATTTTAACAAAGCCACTACCGCCCTGACACCTTAGACCTCTGGTTTATGCGAGTCAGTTTCACTACTTACTTGTACCAAAGCCTCAAGTTTCGCCTCAAATGGAGCCCCCCAGTAGTTTATACGAGCAGTCAGCACCATCCTAAACACTTCTAAGTAAGAAACCGATGCAAATAAGTGCGTGATCTCTAGTATGAAATGAATAATCATGAAAAGGAAAAGCCATATAGCCTGAATATAGAGACATGTTCCCTCTAAGTTAGGTACTCCTCGCCCGAGCATTTATCCCAACGGTACGAAACTCTTGCAGATTTATAGCAGAATGAGCATATGTGCGAAGAAAAATCAAACTAGCAAAGAGATCATAGTCACCAACAGGTTTGCTTGCCATGAACGTGTATGGACAACGGGCTTAATGTGATTGAGCCAGAACGAAACCGGGTAAAATTTGTTGCGAGAAGCTTGAAGCCGAGCTGCAGTAACATGATTGGGACTGGCTTGCATAAAAGAGAGGCCTTCGAAGGCTTACAATCCAGTGTCATTGCCGTATATGTTTTGTTTCCGTTGGACCCCCGGTTTTCCTAACTTGACGTCTGAGAAATCTTATCGAAGGAAGAGCGTGCCACGTGCTTGCCAAATTTTAAATTTTTCCTACCTTTACTTGAGGACAAGCAAAGATTCAAGTTTAGGGGAGTTTGATAACGCGAAATCGTATATATATAATGACATACATTTTTACTAATCAGTGACTGGTTTCACTCCGATTTCAGGTATTTCCATATTATTTGTCCAGTATTTTGCAGGTATTCAAAGTTCATGCTCAAATGGAGCAAGGTGAAGAAAACAAGCAATTACAGATGAAAACCAGATGAAAAACAGGCCAAAAACCGTAAATACAAATTTTGCTGATGTGACGACCGTCATACGTGTTACGACCGTCACACATCCATGACGACCGTCATGCTTTAAAAAGTGCAGAAATGCTGCACGTGCTGTGAGTGCTTTCAAATACCAAAAGGAGTGGACCACTAACTCTTACATTTTCGGAGATCAATCCCACTTCCTGAGACAATTAACCGTTGGAAATTCCATCTATAAAAGGAGGGAGCTCGTACCAGAAAAGGGGAGCTGCATTGAAGACACGAAGTGCTGCCAATTTATTTTCAAAGCAATTTTTGAGTTTCAGAATTTCTTATTGTTTATTGTTTCCTTTTTCTTTCCTTTCCTTGCAATTGTGTTTTACTTTTCAAATTCTATTCTATACGAGTAATTGGCATCAAGACTAAATCCTGCCGTCATTTTGGAGGATTTCCCAAAGGCCAATTGAATTATTTACAGGTTCTTATTATAATCGTTAATTGATTTCTATTTCCCATTATGATGCATGTTTATATATTCTACCATTGTTTACGTGTTCTTAGTTTATATTCCAGGTCTGGCTAAATTAAAGTAATCGGTATGTAATAGATAGTCAGTAGGGATTCGATAATGACCGGTGTATACTTTCCTTTTCAAACTTATTTATGACTTTAGTTTTTAAATCAATTTTTCTAAAATAAATGTTCGTCGCGACAGCGAGAACTTATTTAAAAGCAGTTTTGCCACGACAGTGGGAAATTCATAGAGGTACGAACCAACAAGCGACAACTGAGGTTAGGTCCGGATAGTAAAAACTAAGTATTCATTTTAAAAACAGCGATAGCGCTTTAAAAAGGATTAGAGCTTAATGGTTTTCAAAAAGTAATTTTAACCGCGAGTGAGATATCGACAACATATGTTTCTCCTTAGAGTTGTGACTAGCGTCAACAACCATCGTGAGACAAAGGTCTTTAAACCATCATTTTCTTCTTAAACTATTTTTGAAAACACCAAAAACACCGGTGACTTGTCGAATCCTTGAAGAACCAACATATTGCATACCGATTCAAGCATTTATACCTTAAGTAACGTTTTTAGTTCCCCTATAGTTTACACACTTATTTTGCTTTTATTCCCCTAAAACCATATCAACCTAGCTAAACACAGTAACACCCGAAAATACTAGCTTGATTACGAGTCCCTGTGGGATCGATATCTTTTATTACTACACGATAAACTGTGCACTTGCAGTTAGTTCAGTTAGACATAGAAAGTTGCGATCAACAATTTCCAAATTGTTGGTATGCTAATTGAGATATCTCTATAATACCATAACTAACATTTACTATGCAGTTGGAATGATGAGTAGGTTTATGAACAAGCCAAAGTGGTCACATTGCCAAGCCGCTCTCAGAATACTGAGGTATATTAATGAGACTCTAAGGTATGGAGTTTTGTTCCCTTCTGATGCTGAATCTGATTCAGAGCTGATGTGCTATTCAGACTCTGATTGGTGTGGAGACAAAGTTGACAAAAGAAGTACTTATGGATATTTCTTCAAGTATTTGGGAGGTTTTATTTCTTGGTGCTTCAATAAGTAACTAGTTGTTGCATTGTCTACCTGTAAAGCTAAGTACATTGCATATGCTTTGTTTGCTTGTCAAGTTGTGTAGATTCTAAATTTGTTGTAGGATCTGAAGATCAAGGTAAGCAAGCCTGTAAAGTTGATGGTTGACAACAAATCAACTATAAGCCTTGCCAAGAATCTAGTATTGCATGGAAGAAGCAAGCACATTGACACAAAGTTTCACTTTTTGAGAAACTAGGTTTAGAATGAAGTGATTGAAGTTGTGCACTATACCACTCAGAAGCAGTTGACAAATGTGCTGACTAAGGCTATTAAAATTGAACATTTTATCCATTTGAGGGATGAAATTGATGTTGTTGATTTTGATTAGTTAAATATGAATTAAGAGACGATGTTACAATGTAATTCATTTCAATTTTATTTAGGTGTAATTTAGTTTGCATTTGAATTTCATTTAGCTTGAGCTTGTGTATATAAGCTAAAATTTGGTTTAAGTTTGTTAGAGATTATTCATTGAGTGTAGTTGTTTTCTTTTAATAGAAAAGTTAGTTATAAATTTTCTCTCTCTTCCATCTTCATCATCTTCCTTCTTGTGCACCAACATAAAAGAGTTCAATATTGAAATGAAGAAAATTGTCTAATCCAATCTAATGATGGATAATCCTTAAATAGGCTGCAAGATATTGTCTGGTCTAATTTAACGACGAGTAATCCTTAAACGGAAGAAATCAAATATCTAATCCTTTAACGCATGAGAAACTAATCATTAAATATTTTGTGAAAATATTTTTAGATTAAGCTCATGCAATTGAGCCTTTTATCTTATGAGTTTTCAAATTGAAAATTATTAAACAAATTATTATTTTCTCATTACTTTTTAACTTGGAGCTCCTTCAAAATAAATCAACTTGATCCACATCAACAAAAACCAATAAAATGATATCATCAACAAAAGCCAAATGAGATAATGCATGGCCATTAGAAAACAGATTAATTTACTCTAATATACACTTACTTTTTAATGAAAAGTGGTGAGTATATTCGGGGAATATAACAACCACTAAAAACAATAGAGGCTACCGTAATTTACTTTAAATAGAATGCTACTTTTAATTTAACTCTTCAAATAAATCTTATCACCTTGTAAATGGATAGCGAAATAAAGGGATTTTCAGTCATCAGAATCAGAAAAAGACACCATCACAAAACGACAAACCAATGGCGATTTGTAATAATAAAATCCAGTAACAGTAACTTGGTGATACATTCCAGGAAATAATGAAAAACACGCATTTTCTTTTTTGTTTTTTCCGCTTTGTATTTTTCTCCTTTTACTTCCATTTATTTAATTAAAAATTTAAAAAAATTCTCAAGATAAATAAGTGATAGAGAAGAGTTGTTGGTGGTGGATGACGGTGCACTCTTGTTCCTCTGAAAATAACCGCTCCTTTCTTTTTTCGTCAACTTCTCGATTCTCGAACCTTCCATTCGGATAAACTCGCCGCACGGACATCGGAGCTCCGATCGTCGGAATCAGGATTGACCGTTGTAGATTCGATTTCGTCGTGATTCGTCGTGGTTTTAACGGTGGCGTTTACGTTTATTGGCGATGGAGAAAATGAACGGGACTGGAAACGGAGGGTTTAGTAGCACGGAGATGGAATACATTAGACGACACCACAATCAGGAGCCAGGGGAGAATCAGTGCGCTTCTGCACTTGTTAAGCATATCAGAGCTCCCGTTCCTCTTGTAATCAATCGTACTTTATTCCTGATTCTTGATTCTTGTTGATTGATTTTTCGTTTTACGTTTTAGATTTGGTAGTTTCTGTTTTTTTAGGTCTAGGAATTGATAGTTGAATATGATGAGTGATGATTTAGTTGTTTGTATCTGTTATTGATGTTATGAATTTGAAGAGTTTGGTTATGGCAATGTGTAATGCGGGATTTGGATACTGTTTTGATTGAATTGAATTGAATGATTCTGCTATGTTTCTTTTGGAATTTGCTTATTTATTATTGTGTTTTTTTTCTTCTTTGTGTTCAGGTATGGTCTTTGGTGAGAAGATTTGATCAACCTGAGAAATATAAACCATTCGTGAGCAGGTGTGTGGTGAGGGGGAACCTTGAGATTGGGAGTTTAAGAGAAGTTGATGTTAAGTCAGGGCTTCCTGCTACAACTAGTACTGAAAGATTGGAGGTTCTTGATGACAATGAGCATATTCTAAGCATCAGGATTATTGGTGGTGATCATAGGCTTAGGGTATGAATACCTCCTTACAATGATTTACTTGCTTTATTCTTTTGTTGAAACAATTAAATATTTTCTCGCTTATGAAGCCACTCATGCTGAAACTTTATTCATATGTTGCATGTAATCTTGTGTGATTAAGATGAACTTATTATATATGTTTGTCTGTAAGATACGCAGTGCATTGTTAAACGCAGGATATACATAATTAATTTCTGTTGGCAGCTTTAAGAATCTCTAATCTTGGGATGTTGATACCATTGGGGAGGTCTATTAGTTTGGTGCTTGAGTGTGCACATTGTGTTTCATTCATATATGTAGTTGACTGAATGCAATCATGTGTGTTGTTGTAACAACTAACAAAATGTTGAATAGTACAGTTTTCATTACTTTTAATAGGTATTATATTGTTGCAATATTTTGAGTGGTTTAAGCTCTAGTTAGTAGTATTATTATACACATCTTTTAATAAATTTGTAATGGAAGGAGTTTTTTCTGCATACAAATTACCATATCCTTTTGTTATGATGGTAAGCCTGGTACTCATTTTCCGATGCATGGGATCTCTACTTTTTAATGTTTTCTATCATAAATTTACCAAAAAACCCACACTAACTTGATAAAACAATTAGGATGTCTTGTGCACATTGCGTGTGTTCATTTAGGGAAGATTAGTGAATGTTTGGTAGGTATGAAATTAGGCCTAGATCCAATGTCCTTCAAAGAAAGCTCCCTAGATTGGGTGATCCATGGGGTGGTTTCTTCACTCTGGACACTGTTTTTTTGCGCTCTTTCCTTCCTCTCGTAAAGAACAGGTCTGAATCTGATCCATTAAATCAGAAAAAAAACTACCTTTTGAATCTCCCTTCAGCATTTATTTCTACGGCCTATTTATTCTTTTCCTTATGCCATGTGTAATATGGATAGTATGATTTTTTTCCCGTATACCTTGTGCCCTGATTTTCGATGCAGCCAACACCTTTGTCGGCAGACACTCCTCAATATCCGTTGTAGACCCCTCTTCTGCCATGGAAGAGGGTGTGTCTGGTGGTTCTGGGCATGGAGGTGAGTTGGCTGGAGTGAATGGGATTCAACTAATCAATGATGCGGCCTGCTCCCTCCATATCTACCCCACCCTTATGCTACCCAAAAGGGTAATGTTCTGATTCCTTTCTTAGAATCTGAGTCAGAATTAACTAAATCCCAAAATAGCTAGTTCAAAAGCCATATAAAGATGATTTCGGTAGTATCTAGTTGGTGTTGGAAACCCCCTCTGACACCCAGCACAATGAAAGAGTTGGAGGTGGCAATTTAGGAAGCCCGAGGTAGCCGTAGTGATGGCAGATAGGGCTTTCAATCTCCTCTAACCCAGAGGATGCTCTTTGTAAATCATGCTCTCTGTTTTATCTCTGTTCATCCCCTACCATCAACTGATTAGGCTATTCTTTCATCATATCCATCCTAATGTCTACTCTATCTCTGTTTTTGTTTTCGTATTATCTCCATCACCCCAGTTATGTTTCTGGATTTCCGGTCTTTCAGTTTTCTCGTTCCAAAAAGTTCCCTTTCTTTGTATTGGACCTAAACATAGTGGACCCAAACCGGCAGATCCCTGGATCATATTTTGACTGGCTAGCCTTGATCAGTTTTCAAGAAGTCCCACCATGTTTCCTATCTGACAGCAAGCGAGCGAGAGCACATCCTCTCAATCATGCCTGCCCCATGTGTTGAAGTGCTGCATCAGCTGAATCAGCAGCCAGTAAATTTCCTCTCCTTCAATGTTGGTGTCTCCATGCATTCCTCCTGAAATTTGCACTCTAATCCAGCAAGCTCTCTCTTCAACTCTTCAAGAATTTGCTTCTCCGTTCTTGCATAACCCATAAGCAGTTCCTAGATTTACTCTAAGTTGCGATATTCATAGCTCAAAGATTGGAGCTCTGATGTTAGTTGATGGTACATGGTCAGAATAGGATGAAGATAGATGAAAAAGAGATTATTATTGAATAATTTCTCTCTCTGAATTAGATAAGCCATGTTAATTTGAGACTGAATATTTCCAAGAATCCCCATTTCCAAAAAAATTTGAAAGCCTGGTCTTCCTCCCAAGACTAACTAACTAGCTCAATGCTTCACTTAGTTTCTTCCCCTCTATCATATGCTAACAAATATTCCTAATATTTTTTCCTATCATATCATATATACTTGCTAATAATGGTCTAAATTTGATTCTATTTTGAGTCCTGTAAAACTTTACAGAGAAAAAAAAAAATCTGGTATGTTCAAATCAAAAGTGTCAGAATTCTTCTGTTAGTGTAAAGGTAATGGAGTTCTCAATAAACTCCTTGGAGTTTGGTTCTTCTGGTTTACATTCTTTAGCACGTTTATTTTTCTGACAATGTTCGGACACAGCTAAAATTTTAATCGTCTTGGAAATCAACCAATTGTCAAAGCAATGACAAGTTTAATATTCCTTGAATACTTGGGTCGATTGAATGTGTTAATTTGCTAATTGTGAAACGATTTTTCCTTTATTAGGATGTGACTGGAATTGCTTTATCCCAAAAGCTTAACTGCTTATAACTACATGAATGGTTTACTACAAATACAACCAACATTCCTGAGTCAATAATCTCCCTTCACTTTGGGAATGTTACATTTAGGTAAAGTTGAACACATGTAAAGTCAGTCAGCGTTTAATATTTTAGGAAATGTTTTTAAAATTCAAATGATGTGAGAAAGAAGTGGAATTTAATATTTCTAAAGTTCTAATATACCTTTCACTCTCATGATATGTGAAAGAGTATGCCCACCTTTGGTTATTGAATATAAATCAAGTAAAACATGGAAATATCATTTTCCTAGACTTAATTATGCCTTAGATTTTTTTTCTTGTTAAGCCTTTTACTATATGTGGAAATTTCATATTTTTTTATATCTTTCTTTGCTCACAACAGTTTTAACTCTTCTCCCTCTCTTCCATAAATTAACAACAACAATCATTTTTTATCTTTCAGAACTACTCGTCTATCATGTCCCTCCACCCAGAAATTATTGATGGAAGACCAGGAACCCTGGTAGTTGAATCTTTTGTGGTAGATGTGCCGGAGGGGAATACCAAAGATGAGACCTGCTACTTCATTGAAGCCTTGATTAAGTGCAACCTCAAATCACTTTCAGATGTCTCGGAAGGGCATGCTGTGCAGGACCTCACTGAACCACTTGATCGGATGCAGGAGTTGTTGATAAGTGGCTGAGAACTTGGCTGCCACGGATGAAGTTTCGGGGGCTTCCTATCTTGGAGGTTTAGGAGACAGACTGGCAAGTGGAAATGGGGCTTGTTTCATATGTTATAGACTTGTAGAATTGCACATTTGGTCTACTTTATTAATTGTCTGTTATATATGCTGATTTCTCTCTTTAGTAGTGTTAAAAAACAGAATATTTTAGACATGTGTCTCAATTCGGTGCAGTAAAAGGTGAAGGAGGACCGTGAGCTTCAGTGTGATCTTCATGTCATGTTCTTTCTGTATATAGCTGCTGGTGAAAGTTGGTCTGTAAAATTGTTTCTATTAGTTGCCGTAAAATTCCATCATTTAGCTGAGGATACTTATATAAACAGATCTCAGACTATTTCTTTGTTTCATTGTCTTTTTTTTTTTCTTTTTTCTTTTGGGTCTTTGTTTCATTATCTAGGAGCATTATTATAACTTTAAATTCAACGAACATATTTATTGTAGCAATGTGTGAAGAGTGAAAAATCAGAAAATATGAAGAGGTTAAAACCAAAGAGGAGAAATGTAGAATGCTTTCTGGGAAGCATGGGTAAGCCATTTTGGGCAAATTACCGGTATGGTGTGGTTGACAAACAGGCATGTTCGTCTCACAAAAGTTGCAAAAAAAATAGGACGGGGTGGGATGAACATAGTTGAGGATGTGGGTCTAAAATCTAGGCTCGTCCTGTGAAAAAGTGAAGCGGGGCGGGGAAAGTCCGCGGACACTACACTTTTTAAGCCTAAAAACTCAAAAGTTTGTGTAAACGTCTGTGCTTATAAAAATCTGCGAAGAAAATGGGGTGGACACAATGGAGAGTGAAGGTCTAAATTTTTGGCCCACTCTGCACTAAAATGTGGGTTAAACAGGCATGTTCAATTGATCAGATATGTTTTGTCACCTCTATTGATATGCATACGGTATGTACGAAATATGTATAGTTTTTTTTTACCAAATTTGTATATTTTTTTAAGTCGGTACAATAGGCATGCCTAATTGACCGGATCCGTTTTGTCACCCTTATTGATATGCATACGGTTATTTTCTCCAAAATATACATTTTTTAAAGTCGGTGCGTGAAACCAAATTTTATTGTTTTTTAGTGGATTAAAATTAGGTTTTTTTTAATTCAAAAAAGAAAAAGTGAAAAGTGAATTTTTAGTGGAATTTAATTGATGGAGCTTATAGGTTTAAAGTTGGTTTTTTTCTCTGACGAATTTGAATTGGAATTCACTCTTTTTAACGATATTGGATAGAAAAATATTAATATTTAAACACAATTTCGTGAATTATTGGCACTTTTAAAATTGTGATTTTTTTGGTCATTGGCAAGATGACTCTTTTTGAGCAAATTGATTTTTAATTTTGATATTTTTCGGTTATTTGAACCATATTTTTATAATTGTAAAAAATATATATATCGTTCATCTAAACATTTTTAAGGCAAGTCCATTACGACCTCCTAGGTACTAGAAACCTCTTTTGGATAACTAACATTAATTTGTTGTTGAGCCGACGTGATTAGAGAATATATCATAATTATCCTCACATTATTATACTTCATGTTGAAGTGAGTGTTTGCCTTTTCTCTAATACAAGTTATTTATTAGTTTTCTTGTGGTTGGTACGATGAATTGGCAAAAAGCTAATAGGAGTGAATTTATGAACTTAACTCCTAAGTGAGATATCGTTTCAACGAGCATTAGGAATCAGGGGGGAGGAGTCATTGATCTCCTCTATTTATTTCTCTGAAATACCGGATAGGATTAAAGTTGTTAATATATTTGAATTATTAGGTTGTATTGGGGATATCGTAAGGTTGTGATTCTGCTTAAAAGAAACAAGGTGGGGGAAGAGATTCAGTTTCGCAAAATTTAAGAATGTAGGTGATGGTAGGCTTCTGGTTGTGAAGCTTGACAACGTCTCGCAAGCGAGACAAACCTCCTTGTTTCATTAGAAGCATAGGTGATCCTAAACATGGAGGTGGAGATGTTAGGGCGAGGGTTGTTCATTCTGTTCATTATGCCTCGCAAGCTTGGAGGGGAAAGGGGAGAGATGGTAAGGTTGGAAACAAAACCTTTGCAGAGGTGGTGAGTACAAAGTGTTTCAGAACCCTTCTTCCTCATTTGGGAACCTTTCTCATCTTTTGCTCTACGATGCTAAAGAGGAAGAGCTTTCTAGGTTTAAGAAGGCTTTTGTGGGAGTTGTAAATGCTTCTGATTGGCTGCATTTTGTGGCAAAATATTAGAGTATGTATGTATGTCATGACTAGTGTTATTACATACATAATGTGGATTTTGCAGGGTAAGTTAACTTAGTTAAATGTTAGTTGAGTTGGATGTCATACTGAATGTCATGACACTGATCGTATGACATCAGGCGCGCAAAGTTTGTTTTTCTGGTATTCAGAATGAGGAAGCTCAGGCTAGAATTCAGGAAACTTTATAGAAGCTTAAGCTGGAAGTCAGGAAACATTTGAGAAGCCCTGGAGAAATTAAATGTACCTGACCTAAGTGGTAAGTGCAGCTTTTTGAAGAGAGGTTTGGGTAAACCTAATTGTTGCACCAAGGCCCAAAGTAGGTCTGCTATTATAAATAGCAGAAGGATCATTCCAACTGATAGACACACAGAGGAGAGAGCATCTAGTGAGAGAACATAGAGTGTGTTTGTGAGTGAAGAACCTTGTTCTTCACGTGATTCTAGGAGTCTTAGGATTCCTTGTGTGTCAAGCAAGTGTATGCTATAGAATTGTTGTGGTTATTGTGTCTGAATAGGTGTGTTCATTGAAGTCACTCAAAGCTGTTAAGCAAGAGTGTGAGTCACTTGATCAAAGCTGTGAAGCAAGACCAATGTGTGTTTGAAGTGAGTCTTCATATCTCTTTTGTAATTGTGTATTTGTATCACTGTGGTGTGATTGAGGGGGAGTGAGTGGGAATACTCAAGTATAGAGTGTCTCTAGGTTGAAGTGTCATTGGGTAGGTCTTAAGTGAGGAGTGCAAACTGGGATTGTTTGGCTCTGAATTAATTCTACTGATAGTGCATTTCCTCCCTGGCTTGGTAGCCCCTAGATGTAAGTGTTGTTGACACTGAACTGGGTGAACAATTACTGGTGTGATTTACTGCTTTCTCTTTACAACATTTTAATTACTCCAACAATTGATGTTACAGTGGATGTTATAACTTTCATAATAACATCCATCGTGTATGTGCCAGAATTTCAGGAGTGATGATCAATCTAGGCATGACTTACAATGTTCAAAATTGCTTTGAAATTGAAGGTTTTTTCTCCATCAAGGTCACTCCATTAGATGCCAATCTTTGCTTATTGGAAGAGGTCGAGAAAGGAGCAATTCTAGACTTGATATGGGAAGGGAAAATATGGGGGAATTAATGGTTCTCGAACATTAGGGAGTGGAGGGAAGAAGATATAGACAAGGAGAGAGTCATGCAGATAAGGGCTCATGGGGTTTCAGGCCATGTGTGGTGTTTTGACTTTTTTGAATTGTTGGTTAATTCAATGGGTAAGTACGTTTGTTCAGACGAGAATACCTTGAAGGCAAATAGTATGGACATTGATAGGTTCGTGGTGAGAACTTCTTGCACTTCAGTGATTGACAAGTTTATCAAGGTAAATATTAATGGTGAAATTTTCATGATCGAGTTGTCAGAAGATTCTTATGGACCTCTCCGTATTAATGGGTCCAATAATAAGAATATGTTTTCGGTTTCAAATTCTTCTTCTTCTGATTTTGATGATGCAAGGCTTAACCACCATTCAGGTAACTTAGAAGACGATGTCAATGAGGACCGATTTTGTAACCTAGTTGATTCAGAGGAATGTGTAGTTAGATTTGTAAAAGTTGTGGAGGTCAATTCAGGTAAAGTTGGGAACAAGGAAGTAGGAGATAGAGGGTCAGAGCCTGTGCATGGTGTTGCACCCCAAAATTTGACCAACCGGTTCCCACATCTGGTTTATGTTCCGACGCATTTTACATTTGCATTCGCATACCGTATATGTTGCATTTTCTCAATCATATTGATTTTATCGGGATCACAGCCCTGTTTTCACATTTCGGAGGTTTTAGACCGATTCGGATGATCGGAGTTTCGGTTCTTGCCGCTTGTTTCGATCTGGTCTCGCGGTCTCTTTTATTTGCATTTTTAGGATTTAACAGCTTTTTCTAAATTTTAAATAGATTTTATTGTTTTTAGAAGATTAATAGGTTTATTTGTTTTTAGAATAATATAGCATTTTTTAGAATTAATAAATTGTAGGCTTATATTAGTGCTTTAGAACTCTAATGGATTTTTTAGGATTTAGAATATAGTTTCTTTTTTATAAATAGAATAATATAGTTTTTAGAATTTAATTAGACTTTATTAATAGAATTGTAGGTTTTAAATAGATTTTAATATAGTTTTTTCTTAATAGATTTTTAAATAGATATTAGTTAGATTTTAATTGTTTAGTTTTATAGATTTTATTTTTATATAGAGTTTATTAGTTTAGATTTTAATTGAAGTGTTTAGTTTAATGATTTTTCTTTTATTAGAGTTTATTAGAATCAGTTTTCAGTAATTAGCATTAATCAATAGTCTTTTTCGTTCAGTTAAGTGTAGCTTTTAATCATGCATTAGTGTTAGTTTTAATCTTTGCATTTTCGTATTAATTAAGTCTGTTATCATTAATTTTAGTCCAGTTAATCATTCACTAGTCTGAGTTTTATGGGCCATGTGTCATTTTGGAGGCCCAAATTCGTGCCACTTGGCAGCGTATAAAAGTGCCACCTCCCTCTCTTTCTTTACCAGAGTTTGACACCTCATTCATCATCACCACTCCACCGCCACTTGTCTCTCTCCTTCCCTTTGCATGTGCCACGCGTCCCCTTCTCTCTCCTCCACGCTGCATGTGTGCCAGCACACACCCCACTATCTCCCTCCTGCCGCCGGCCATGCAGCCGCCGCAGAGCCACCGTAACCTCCC